AAGAGAATATATAGACAGTAGGCCTGATAGGAGGATTCGAACAATTTATATGCCCAAAGATTAGAATAAGTTTCGCAGCGATGTGATGACAGAGATTTGCAACAGACGCTAACCTTTTTTTCCCTAAGAATATAAGAAAACAAATACTTATTAAATAAAATAGATTTTCATATCATGGAGCAGAAGTAATTGAACTCTGCATGCCAACTAGTACTACCCAGAACTGTCCAACCTGTACTCTATTAGTTACGTATGGACCAGTACTCAAGTCAGAGAGAACTCTATGAGCACAGTTGAAGGTAATGTATTTGGAATTAGAATCATCCGCAGAATAATGTACAAAAGAATCATATTTGTACACAAACATCATGTTCGCCAAAGCTTGGACGAATATTCAACTTTTTGTGATTCTGCTTATGCCTTTTTGATGCTGAAATAATCACACTAAAATGCTCCCCATACCATACGCACATACGTTTACTAAACTGGAAAAAAGAAAAGATAATACTTTTGATTACAACGATTAATGACAGTGACTTTATTCAGTACTGTACGAAAAGTATAATGTGAAATTCTCAACAACCAACACAATATTTTAATTAATCCACTTAACTGCTTTTATACACTACAAAAATGTGTACGCATTCATATAAATACATTATATAAATAAATGAAATTGTACATAATTATATGAAATATTCGTAAGAAAATAAGAATCTATACAGCTGTGAATTAACAGTATTATCTTTTCCAACCTGTTTGTCACATATTAGATACAGTATTATCAGGATTTTATACTTTTGCTTGAATCTGTAGCGTGGTGTCGAGTCAAGATTGACTATGAACACCGCTACCAAGAAACGCGTGCCAAATGACTCCATAAAATCCCCGAGAAGCCAAATATCAGAAGGCAATTAATGGACCAAATTGAGGTATATTCGCTGGAGATCTCGTGGCATCAAAAGGATACCGAGATCATGCTAGGATACAAGCTTGGTTAAAGAACGTGACCGAATTCGCGCGAAGTCACAATCAAAGTGTAAGAAGAAGAATGGAAGCACAATATAGCTGTCATTAGCACAGTCAAACAAAAGCACATTAGAACAAGCACTGGTACAGTTGGTTATAATAATAATTGTTTTTATTAAACCAGTCATGTTCTCGTGATAAATGTGAGTCACTACAAATCCATGGGTTATGTTGCCACCATCGTTGTTCTTTTTTTGTCTATATCACCCCATAGTGTTTTCTTTCCGAGTGTCGTTTAATAAAACCTTGGCGTTTCAGCCCCTAATCAGAATGGTTAATCCTTTTCCTAGGATAAAATGAAGCCTCGCATAGAACAGGTCCATATCGTTCTCACTGCCATCATTGATGACTCTTTAATACTAGATGACATTCGCTGTTATCCTTTCCTTCCTTATTGATGAGCATGTACTGATAACCCTAGAGGTGTGAGTTTCTCATCCTATAAGACAGATGATTATCTTGAAACCCAAGAAGAATTGTTGAACTGAAAAATAGCACGAATCAATATCAGATTAAGTTTTAAAAAATAATATATTGCCCAAAAAACGCATTCAATTGTATCTCACTTCTACAAATTGTAAAAAATTCCAGCGGATTTTTTTGAATCTTCGTTTTATAAATAAATATATAAGTTGCTTTTAAAGTTTGTAAGAGGTTGATACTAAAGTAATCATCCAAAAACTTCATCTATAACATTAGGCTTGATTCATTACAAACAATCAACTATTCTGTTATTTACTTTGCATATAAGGTAAACTTCAGTGTTTTGTTCCCATCATTCCATAATCATTGTCTGTTGTATTCGTACTTTATGTTAGTTCTGAAATATTTCCACCTTTTAAGTTCCAGGAGAAAGTTCACGTGATTGTTTTCTCTAAATAAAAACAACATAAACTTTTCATCAGTATGAAATTGTGGAGGTTATTAAATTTCAATGAAACTAGGAACTGGTTAAAAGTGTATGACCATGATCTACAACATTATATATTACTTACTTACTTCACTTACGCCTGTTACTCCCAATAAAACATAGGTCAACGACCAGCATTCTCCAACCCACTCTGTCCTTCACCCTCCTTTACAGTTCTATACAATCCTTGTTCATTCTTCTCATGTCTGTCTCCATTTCTCAACCTAGTGTGTTCTTTCATCTTCCTCTTTTCCTTTCCCCTTCAGGATTCCATGTGAGGGCTTGACTTGTGACACAGTTGTGTGATTTCCTCAATGTGTGTCCTATCAACGTCAACCGTTTCTTCTTCTTGATTTCTTCCTCCGCTGGAATCTGGTTTGTTCTCTCCCACAGTAGGTTGTTTCTGGTAGTGTCCGACCAACGTACTCGAATTATTTTGCCTGGACAACTGTTAATAAACACTTGTGTCTTCTGGATGATGGCCTTCGTAGTTCTTCAAGTTTCCGCCACATACAGTAGAACTGTCTTAACATTTGTATTAAAAATCCTGACCTTCGTGTTGGTTGACGGATGTTTTGAGTTCCAGATGTTCTTGAGTTGTAGATATGCTAGTCTCTCTTTGCCGATCCGCGTCTTCACCTGTGCACCAGATTCGCCATGTTCATCAATGGTACTTCCCAGATATGTGAAGGTTTTTACATCCTTCAAATCTTTTCCGTCAAGTGTGATTCGATTGCTGCTTTTCCCTTTGTGTATGTTGAGACCTACTGCTACTGCGGTTATTGCTACACTGGTCGTCTTCTCTTGCATTTGTTGTTGAGTGTGCGATAGAAGAACCAAATCATCTGTGAAGTCTAGATCGTCCAACTGCATTCTATCTGTTCACTATATACAACATTACATATATATAAACGTTAAACAAGTTCATATGAAATACCGATTAGTAGCACAACATTTAATCCAATCAAAAATGTATTTTTTTTAAAAAAAAATATTTTGTGTAATAAACTGTTACTATCATTACTAGTACATATAACAATTGATTATGAACACTAGTCTTAAACATATTTAACTTATACAAATTTCAATATGATATGTAACATTGACACACATTACTATTGACTATTTAGTTATGAAGATAGTACATAACCCTATAGACAATAAATGATTGTTGACAATATAAATATTTTATTATAATAAAAAAAGTGGTTAAATCAAATTCAGATGATTACTATAATGTTAATGTATCACTATAGTAAATAAACTGAGTATATTTGATTGGTGTTTATAATTTAGCTAACGATGTATTTAAGTATGAATTCAGTATTTATGCTACAGTGAATAGTGGAGAATTTAATCTCTTTACGATTTCTATTTCATTTAATCGTTATTTTATTTATTTTAATTGGTAAGTCTAATACACTTTTGATATTATTTATCTAATTATATCAATATATTATTAATAATATATTATATTGATATGATAATAACCCAAAATACGCAGGATTCGAACCCGAAACCCTTGGTTCCGCACACAAACGCTTAACCTTTAGACTTCTAAGCCGGCATCCAACGGTGTTAACATCTAACTTCAATCAATCTATGATCTTGCTTAAACCTTCATCGATTACTTACAGTGGGTAACTATATCATATCCGAAACAGATGAACTCCACAAGTCACAGCTTCTCACTAGAACTCCATGAACTACCTGTCGAAGCTAGTTACTAGTGAGCACATGATAATTATCAGAATAGTATACTGATTATTATTATTGTCATTACCATTATGCGAGTATACCATTGTGAATGAAAGTAATTTTACATAGGTTTTCAGGAAAATCAGACATCATCCAGGTCTTAATACCACGAACTAAACAGCACAACTCATTACTGTGGCTCAACCATACAGGTCTCAAGAAACACGGTGGATCGTTTGCACTGTATATATCCATCTATATGTAAATAAACATACATTATTTCCGGTCAATAATAGCGTCAATTAACTATGTACAGTACGAAGAGGTCAATTTTAACCTGTTGCAATAACGTGACTGTCAAATCCATTATTACTAGCAATCGCGATATGCATTACACCAACTGAATGACAGGAACTCCTGAGAACACTGAAAAGCAACTATTAATATCAAAGAATTCGATTAAATTGTTTGGCATATAAATAGACAGTAAAACTTGATAAAGTAATGCCAAACCATTCATAGTGAAACTCCACTCTAATAGAAAACCTTCACCTCCATATAGCAATCATAAATATTTATTTATTTAGATAAACTTATGATCAATGAAATTAACCATTTTAACTAGTCGATGTAAATAGATGAGATAGAGAATGTAGCTACTTATATAAAAACATTGAATGACAATATAAAAAATCCAACTTTATAATAAGAAATCTACAGGTAATTTTTGAGATTCTTTATTATAATTAAAATAAGAATTCTAATTCAAACGCCAATCACTGACAGTCCTTCTTCGGACAACCGTTAGGCATTAATTTATACTGATAAAATGTCTTAATGGTATGTAGCCCCAAAAGGGAGTGGAATGTCTGACAGAAGAATATGAAATTGAAGAGAACCGAAAGGAAACCGGAGAGCAATCAAAATAACAAAAGAATTGGAGGAATAATGGAGCACGTAAAGAACAAAAAAGAAGGAAGATGAGAAAATAATCTATTTAATGTATGATTTTCATGTTACTAAGCCACTGTGTAATCTTGCGTCTGTGTCCCCTTTCATTACTGTAGTTGTAGCATCAATAGTATTAATGACAATGATTATCCCTAAGATGTTAATAGATCAAATATCTACAGCTTAATAATCAATTGACTCGTGTACTATCCCATTGAGTTTCATAAATTGACTTACTGTTATTATTCGAATACACTATCTAAATTAATTAAAGAATATATGGGACAAACTGTCAAATTCTTACTTATTTTCGTGAGAAATTATAACTTTTAAGGAAAGTAATCATATACGAAAATGCGTCAACAGTTCATATATATTATAATCATTCGATTATTTTATTCCATAGATCTAAATGGTTATATTCGAAAATTCTAAACAAAATGAAACTCCTTCTAATGATGTGGCAAATGATCACAAGAATATCAACACAAATATTGAACCATGTGGTAAGTTGATATCAATGTAAAGGTATAATATACCGACGACCTTGGACAACTCAGTAAACGTTGCCTAGTTATAAAATAATTAACAATGAAAAGTGATGAATTAATGTTGGAATAAAGACTTTGATCATAGTAATGAACCCTCATAAGTCGAATTATCCGTTCTTGTAAAGAAAGAAGGGTATATTTACATGTATGCACACATATCAGGAGTTGGGTTAGTGTTATGAGTTGAGGTTTTTTTCCAGCAACTGACATCATTTTCAACGTAAACAGGTTAGATTTAAGCATTGAGATTTAAACTGGAGTTTTGAGTCAAGTTTACAAATAAGGGTCAGGGCTTTCCTCATGAGCTAACATCGTCTATAATGCAGTCCTTTGTCATCTTTCTGTTTATAAACTCCAGTGACTTAGGGTTGAGATTTAGAGTTAGAGTAAAAAAAGGAGAACACACTCAAGTTGCATTCATCACTTAATTACACAATGAACGACATCAAGTACTTTAACAGACAATCTGACTTCAGAGCAAGTATGTTATATAATTTAGCTTAGGTACCATTTAAAATTCGCTTTTTGGTTTCATAATAGATAGTTTCATTAACTTCAATCGCTTTAAGAAACAAATAATGCCAATTTTCACTGGATTAATGATAACACACATGTTATCTATCACTGTATGTGAAAATTCGTGCGAAATACAGAGGGTGTTGACTCATTTATGATTGCTTAACTCAATGCCATCAGTATGTTATACCTTCACCGATAAATATCGGAGTAATAATTGATATGCTTTGTGACCAATGCCCAAAATCACCTAAAAAATCTCCATTCAGAATCCTGATACTAATCTGATCTATTTCGCCAACGTAACTTACTCCTACGATTTAGTATCCCTGGCTTGGTCAAGTACACGCCCGATCAGAACTATTAACCTTGAATCGACGGCTAAGTTACTACTGGTCCAAGACTCTTTAGCTTGTAGTGACTCACATTTATCACGAGAACACGACTGGTTTAATAAAAACAATTATTATTATAACCAACTTTGCCAGTGCTTGTTCTAATGTGCTTTTGTTTGACTCTGCTAATGACAGCTATATTGTGCTTCCATTCTTATACTTACACTTCGATTGTGACTTCGCGCGAATTCGGTTACGTTCTGTAACCAAGCTTGTATCCTGACACGATTTCGGTATCCTTTCAATACCACGAGATCTCCAGCGAATATATCTCGATTTGGTCCATTAATTGCCTTCTGATATTTGGCTTCTCGGGGATTTTATGGAGTCATTTGGAACGAGTTTCTTGGTAGCGGTGTTCATAGTCAATCTCCACTCGACACCATGCTACACGCTCTTCATGACTAAAACTTTGGACCTAGTAGTCAGCAACTAGTCTGTACTCTATATTATATTTCAAACAGACGTAGTTTATCTACAGACAGACCAGACCGCTTCACATTATTTAAAAAAATAACAATCATTTATAAACAGGCCAAAAATGGGTGTGAATAGAAGAGACTGTAAATAATAGACTGGGAAGAAATTAGGAAAAGTAAAACGCATAACATTAGTAAATAGGTCAACCGAAAGCTTATGACAAAGGGGTTATATACATATTAGTCTAGTCTCTTAATAATTATACAATAAGAATATAATAATAGTAATGATTCATAAATTAATCTTGGGAGTTACCATTCCTTCAATCTTCGTTGTGATATAGCAATGATAATATCGGTTATCGTAGCCTATTGATAAAAAATAAACATAACTATTAAATAAGCAAAGACGGACAGTGGCTAGCAGTGGAATCCAGGAAGCGCGTTTCGTCTTATTTGGAACTCGTCAGCTAGATGTACCTGCATCTCAGAATTGATGTTCACTCTGGGACTACTAAATGATATCAGTAAATATTTTCTGAAAGTTTTCATATTTTTAATAAATCCATAGGGCAGTCAGGTTAAAAGAAAATGTTTGGTGTAAATTGAATAAGATATCTAGAATTAAAGAAAACTACAACTCAGAATTTGACCAGTGATAGCTCATCGTAATATTGCATAATCATCTCCTATTGCCAGTGGTGGATAACTGTTTCATACCTTACATAACTGAATAGATCTGGTCAAGACTTTTGGTCAGTGAGCTCTACTGAGAAGTCTCATATAGGTTGAGATATTTGTTCAGTGCTTCCTGGTTTTTAATGATGATGTAGCTCGGGTCAACTTGCTTTTTAATCTATAGAAATTCCTCAGTATTTAAAAACTCTATTAACCAAAGAGGGATAAGTTTATCACGTAATGAAGAAACTGTCTATGCTAAAATTAAAACCAATCCTTCTTTTTTATATGGCGCGAATTGATTACTTTCCCAAGTAACGTAAACATAAGTAGCCTTTTTTATATTATTTCGACTGTTAGTCAATAAAATTCAGAAGAACTGACGAAGATCTTAATGGAACAATTAAATGGAGACTTTACTCTCTACATGCTAGTCGTTCACTATAGTTATATTCTCTGATATAACTAATACATCTAAATAGCGAGCGTATAACCCTTTCGTTTCTACAACATATATATATATATATATATATATATATATATATATATATATATATATATATATATATATATATATATATATATATATATAGTTGTTATCAATTGTTTATTTTTTGCTTACAGATGAAACGATTATAAACTTATCAGTATCAAACGACTCTAATCACGAAAACACTCAAATAGCTGGTTCAAATTCTCACATTGATCATCGTTCGAACTATTTCCGCAATGGACAATCTTCATCTTCTGATTCATCAAAACTTACTAATATCAATGTCAGATTAAGTATTCTTACCAGTTCAAGTTCCCCGAAACCAGTAATTATTATTATTAATTGATATTAATGGTGTTATTTATTATTCATTACAAGTAGAAAATTGTGTTGTTTAATTTCACTCAAAAAGTTAATTATAATAAGTATAGTATGATCAGTTCAATAGTCAGATCGGAAGATTTTAAAAAAATATGATAACATGTACAAAGTCGTACCAAGACCATACAGAAAAATTGCCATATTTCAAAACCGTGAAAAAAAAGGAGAAGAAATTAACTGAACTTCATGAATTAATAAATAGGGAACTTAAATGATTATAAGATTATCAGAAGAGGATTTTGTGAAGATTTTAGTAATTCAGTAGTTGAATTTATGAGTCAGTTGTAGCTAGACCATGATGGAAAACCTGGAAGTACTGGATGGCTGTTTCGTTCTAGTACAGGACTACTCAGCAGTGCGCATCCACGTTCCTGCCGCGTGGGGTTCGAATTCAGGACCTATTGGTCTCACGTGTGAACGCTTAACATCTAGACAGCTAAGCCGGCATCCAACGGTACTAATGTCTAACTTTAACCAATCCACGAAATTGTGCCACCATTGTCTCATAATAGAACGAAACGGCCGTCCAGTGCTTCCAGGTTTTCTATGGTGGTCTAGTTTTAATTGCTTATAAGATTACTCAAATTTTACTAAAATCTTATTAGAAACAATAACTGAAAGTGTCTTTCTTTACGAATCCAATTACTCACATAAAGTTTGTCTTTTTTCATTTGGTTAATATTACTTCTAGTTCGTTAAATTTCGTCACACTTGAAGACCATGTTTTCGTTACTATGTATACAAAGCTGTCACATTTCGTTATGTTCTGTTTGTTTTACTTCGAATATCAATATTTCCCATAATTCGTCTTTCCCTTATGTTAGCCAGTTCCCATTACCGTTCTACACAGTCGAACCGATCATATTAGAGTACATAAATTGTTCTTAATTCTATGAGTTCATTTATTTATTACGTTAACACATACCAAATACATATGTGACACACAAATCTCATTCGATATGTATGAGGGCTGTGATACTGCCCAGGTGTCCAAACCGAAGCAGATGGTTTTCTTAGGGGGCCCCTCCCCGAGCCTTGGACCTGAAGGTCTGATCCACAAGGCAGTGGAGCATCGTAAGGAGCCCATGTGCATCATTGGTTTGGAATCTGGTTAAGGCGCCGGACATTCGCTTTTCGTCCTCTCATTTTCGTAAACGACACCTCCGCCACGAGAAGGCAGTGAGTAGGACTTCCCTGGCAGAGGCTATATACGCGTGGTCATGTGAAGGCATTTCGAGATGGAGATCGAACTCTCCCTACTCTCGGCTGTACCAGGGCATTTGGGGGTATTCCATGAGTATTGTAGGTTCATACTGAACTCTTAATATTAAAAATTAACAGAAATGAAAAAAAGTACATTTGATGTAAATAGATTATAAATTACTGATCAAATGTTAGATTTTACATACTACTAGTTAGGATCGTGTATTAAGTTCTTTTTTCATCCTAGTTAAGAGAAAACCCAGATCTAACATTAATGACTAACATAACATCAATGACAAACTACTATTTAATTGTATGAACTGTGAATTTTCAAACAACTGAATTCAGACTAACTAAATTTACTTATTAACAATTAGGGTATGATACTGCCTGACTATCACTTCTTCACTGTTAATGTCAAGTATTTCACAATGCTATGATAAGTTGATGATTTGAACATTTTAATTTTTAAAAAAATAGTCAATGTAGACACATTTTCCCTATCAGTATGGAGATTGCATTATTTTAACGGTTGGATTTGCGAGTAGATTTATACTAGACCATCATTGACAACCTGGAAGTACTAGATGACTGTTTCATCCTAGTATGGGTCTCCTCGGCAGTGCGTATCCACGGTTTATTTAATTAACGAGAATCAATATATTCATTCCGAACTGTATTAATATACGATGGTGGTTGGAGGTAGTCAACAGGAAACCCTAGACCTAGGTTTCGTACTACTTGGCACTCGTCAGCAAGATGTACTTGTAATCTTGAGGGAACTGATGCTCAGTCAGAGATGTCACCACTGAGCTATGTGAGCCGCGAATGACCAGATGAAATGCCAAGTAGCACGAAACATAGGTTCAGTACTTCCTGTTGACTACCTCCAACCACCATCTTATCCCAACATAGTGCACTCATTATCGAGTCACCTAGACTAGTGACCATATTGCACCTGACATATATAACATTGATTATCACCCAGTGATCAATCTATTGTAAGGACTGTATTGATTTTTAACGCTTAGTAAAACTAATAAAAAATATACCAGCCATTGTGTATCCGTTATATTTATTCTTTTTAGTGATATAATTTAAATAAGATCACAATGAATTACCGTGCTTATTAGTGTATTAAATCCTTTAAATATGATTGTATTAACATTCTATGAATAATTTGTAACAATCTAAATTCTCATTTGTAAAACATTTACATAGAATAACAAAAAGCTGTTGACTGTAAACACTCCATATACAACTAATTCAGTTTCATTTCGTCTAATTAATATGTTGCATTATGTTAGTGAATTTGATCATTTACTCTACTAGTACTCTAGTGAACGAGAACACAAGTGTGGACAATCGAATGTATTTGAGTACAAAATTACAGAATCTCTTAGTAAAATCTGAGAACCATACATTAATGAATATTTCATTTGCAAAATATCAGTCAGTCGTCTCAAACTTTGTTGTCTCTTTTCATTTCCATACCAATCATTCTCTGTTCTCGTTCTCTATTCTTCGATCCGCCAAGCATTTCACTTTCTATTGATGATACATACTACTTATATCTGTCGACATCAGTAGCATACACCACTAACTGACTCATAAATTGACAACCTATAATCGAATCAAAATTCATTTTTCTTTTTATTATTTTTATGAAAAATGAAAAAGAAAAAGATATAAAAGTGATTTTTTTCTTTTTTATCTCTTGATCATTGCAATGTTCTCATAATATATATAGACTAGAGATAAGATAGTTACTTTCTCTACAAGTAAATGTTTTAAATACATTTCAGTTTAAATATACATTGAAGCTTATTCCTATACCACAAGCATTGAATTCAACTTATATAGAAGGAGTATATGAAGTTATTGATAATGATAATAAATCATCCAATCAAATGTCAAATGTGAAACAAATGTCATCAGACAAAAGCTCAAATGAAGTAAGCAATTTCATAATTATTATCTAATGATATTTGTTGATATGAATTTGAAACATGAAAAGATTGAAAATAAACTGAAGAATAAATAAATGTTGTTGAAACCAATAGATGTGCACACTTTGTTCTATACGATTTATTACTTATTTACTTACTTACTTACGCCTGTTACTCCCAATAAAACATAGGCCAACGATCAGCATTCTCCAACCCACTCTGTCCTTCACCTTCCTTTACAGTTCTATACAATTCTTGTTCATTCTTCTCATGTCTGTCTCCATTTCTCGACGTAATGTGTTCTTTCATCTTCCTCTTCTCCTTTCCCCTTCAGGATTCCATGTGAGGGCTTGCCTTGTGACACAGTTGTGTGATTTCCTCAAAGTGTGTCTCATTCACTTCCAACGCTTCTTCTTCTTCTTCTAGATTTCTACCTCCGCTGGAATCTGGTTTGTTCTCTCCCACAGTAGGTTGTTGCTGATAGTGTCTGGCCAACGGATCCAAATTATTTTGCGTAGACAACTGTTAATAAACACTTGTATCTCCTGGATGATGGCCTTCGTAGATCTCCAGGTTTCCGCCACATACGGTAGAACTGTCTTGACATTTGTATTGAAAATCCTGACCTTCGTGTTGGTTGACGGATGTTTTGAGTTCCAGATGTTCTTGAGTTGTAGATATGCTAGTCTTTCTTTGCCGATCCGCGTCTTCACCTGTGCACCAGATTCGCCATGTTCATCAATGGTACTGCCCAGATATGTGAAGGTTTTTACATCCTCTAAATCTTTTCCGTCAAGTGTGATTCTATTGGTGCATGTTGTGTTGTTTTGGAGAATCTTGCTTTTCTCTTTGTGTGTGTTGAGACCTACAATCTATAGTTATCAGAAGTCAGATGAAAATATCTTGACTGAATTCAGTTACAACTCAAATGTGAAATATTTTTCATTATCAAGTATTTTGAACATTCACGTTTATCAAGTTCGTCTATGGAAAGTGACTAACAATTTGATTTATAAAATGAAAGTCATAAACATTATAATTTATGCTTTCTAGTTTAAAGCAAAAGGGAATATGAAAACGGGGTGCTGTTCACAGTACCAAAATGTCAAACCCCATTCAATCTTTAGTCAACAAATTTTTGTTTATATAAAACATGGAAATTTGAGAACCAGTTTTATGTTTGATAATAAACAACTTGTCCTATAGTTTTTCTTTCTGTTTATTGACCGAATATTTGACTTCAGTTAAATCTGTTGGAATATTCAGAAAAATATCCCAAAAATTATCCTGTTAAGTCTAATGCTATCCTTGAACGTGATATGGTGTCATTTTCCTATTGGCCAATATTTATTTCACGTGTCATTTCCCTGTTGGTCAATATTCACGGTAGTCCTAACTGTATAAATATGCATTTGTCTATAAAGTATTATTCCTATTCCTATTCTTCTCCTGACCCCATAACCAATTTCATCTACGGTTCGTGTCCTGAAATAATGTGGATTGGGGAATAATATTGGGGTCGTACTGGGATATCTGAATTTGGTCAGTCGGTAGAAATTAGAGTGGCTACCCCACGGTCCACAATAAAATCATATGCTAATTGTTATCAAAATACACATAACGACTATCCTCTTACATAATTACTGACTGAATTCACTTTGGAGAATAATGGAATAAAATAAGCCAAATACAAGAATAAATTATAAATACGTATATTTCATACACTCATTGATCCAGACAGATAATCAGAGAAACGCAGTGAAGGAAGAGAAGTAAGACGAAACAAAGGGATGCGCAGTGCAAGAGGAAAGTGAACCAACTCGTTCTGATCAAGTGTGACTCAATATTCATATTCAAACATAAATAAATTACAGATACGTAATAAATAAGACAAACAACCAACACACATTCGATCATATAAAAACAGTCAGGGTTAATAAGAGGATAATCAACAAGGTCAAAATGTAGCTTGAGAAGAATGAATAAATTAGTATTTTTAGAAGCTAGAATAACCTCTGTGGGCTTGATATAGTATCAGCCACTACAATTTCATCACAGAGAAAAACTTATTGAACATTTTCAGATACTGTAACTTTTTAAAGCTGCAATTCTTTCAAAGTCAAGCGGGAAAAAAAATTTTTTATTACATCAGACGAATTACTCAAAGGTTCCACACAATCTATTCTCACATTTTAATATGATTTGTTTATCAGGTGGATGAAACCTACTTACATCTTGCAAAAGGAACTTGTGATCAGCTAGACAAGCTAAAACCAAATCGAATTTCGAACACTGAATCCCATTATCTGCCATCGAATTCTATGAGAACTCAAACAAAGGTAGGTAGATATTTAGCATATTCATTTGTCATGATCATTAGGATAGCTAAACTGAACAAAATAATAAATTGGCTATTCAGTTGCAAATAATGTTACTTGTCAGTAAATGACATACACTCTCAATTGTTTTTGTTTAGATTTAGGTTGGAAATAGCGTTTTTGATTGACGACGTTGCTAACTATAGTTATTCCATTGAAATCATGAACCGATCAATGTTAAATCACCATTAGAACCTTGAAGCACTGGACGGCCATTCATCCTAGTATGGAACTCCTCAGCCATGTGCATTCATAAATTTACACTCAGGACTCGAACACTCGGTTTCGCGCACGAACGCTTAACCTCTAGACTACTGAGCTGGCATCCAACGCTGTTGACGTCTAGCGTCATTCGATCCATGATCCAGCGTATCTATTACCTGTATTACTTGTATCCGACACGGTTGAACTCCGCTAGTCATGACTTCTCACTAGAACTCAGAGAACTACATTTCGAAGCTAGTCACTGGTGAGCACATGATGATTTTCAGTGTGTGGTTGTACAGATTGTTGAGTTTCATTGAAACAGAAGGTTTTTAGCCTGACTCTCTGGTGAGGTCGTGAATGCACACTGCTGAGGAGTCCCATACTAGAATGAAGCGGCCACGCAGTGCTTCCAGATTCTAAAATTGATCGGTTCATGATTGATGATATTCAACAATCTCCGCAACCCCCTACTGAAAATATGATTACTAAATCAAACGAATCACTCAAAGGTTCCACATAATCTATTCTCACATTTTAATGTCATTTGTTTATCAGGTGGATGAAACCTACTTACATCTTGCAAAACAAACTTGTGATCAGCTGGACATGCAAAAAAACAAATCGAATTTTGAATACTGAATCCCATTCTCTGACATCAAATCCTTTGAGAACTGAAACAAAGGTAGGTAGATAATTAGCATATTCATTTGTCATAATCAACAGAATAGTTCAAATGAATAGGACAACAACCAGCTGATTCATTTATCAACAGCATTATTTCTTGATAATTTATTTCAATTATTTTCAGGTTTATTTATTTTATTCTTTTCATAGATGCATTAGTTCTTCAGATTGACGTACATGATGTATGATGCTTAACTAACTCTTCAATGTGAATAAACAATTTTTATGATGAATTTATTCGCTTTTAAATGGTTTGATACAAGAGTAGCCAAAAGGATTATTAATATTTCATGTATAAAGTTTAAGGCAACAATAAAGGGAATTAGGGCCATGAAAGGATGAAAGGTTGGATGAATAGTTTCTGTACGCAAAGTTCGGGCTTGATTTCGTGGATTACCAATGACTTAGTCCAACCTCTCATTCTTCCTTGGCCGTGATTCAATAAAATTTATAAATTGGAAAATCCATAGTTAGTATTTTAGTGGCCCTTAATCTGACTCCAAATTGATCGTTTCTGATTGTTATTGAATAATTGCTGTCAAAATGTAATTCATGAAGAATGAATGAATTGACTTGTCCAAAAGCGAGAATAAGTTATGTAAGCTTAACATAGCAACCGACACTACAATATTTTAAGTTTTTGTTTTCTTGATAAGTCTGTGAAGTGGTTGCCGTACACAGAGGGTCGTCTAAACTCTCTCTCTCTTTACTCCATTCTTGATAACCGGTACACTAAGTAAAGTATGTAAACTGATGATTGAAAAACAAATTCAATCAATTATAATAATTGCTGTCAATAGTTCATATGGATACTTGAATATGAGAGTACTACTTAAATAGGAGATACTCACTAATTTCAGTATTTTGACTATCGGATAGTTTTCCTTTGTTTAAATAACTTTGTATTCATTAGTGAGAACAAACCAGAACAATTTATATGACATAGGAAATCTTTATTTAGAAGAAATTAATTGCGTTGTATTTGTCCTTATCAACTTACTAGTTTTGACTATAAGAAGGAACTGAGCTGAATTAACTGACTGAGTTGTTTAACTATCAAGAACTTATCGGAATTGATTATCTTATTTTTATGTTACAATTATACTGCTTGTTGTCATTACGAACTAATCACTTGCAGCATGGTTAATATCTGATGTAACTGTATGTATGTTTTGTATTTGAGCAAATCTCTTCAGTAATACACAAAATGAGTTCAGATTTGTAAGGGTTGTATACATTTTTATCTTTTAGTTATTTCATCAATCTAAAAAGTAATACAAGCTAATAAATGTAAATCATGGTCAGAATCTATAATTCAACCATTAAACGAAGTGAGATTTTGTGGTACACTTTGGCATGTTTACTAAACAAATAAAACTGACGTTACTCTTCAACAAAGCCTATCTGTAACCCTAAAAGTAAAAACATTCATCAATTCAGATGTCAATACAAGAGAGTATCCATCCCCTAAATCCAGAGACGGATATGCACTGTTAGAAATTTTTGGTATGATATAGGGCTATAGTTCTATCTTTCAGAAGATACCTTTGAATTACTTGACTAATTTTATAAAGATCAGCGACGAATAAGTGCTTTATCTTAAATAAATAGAAGAACTAGAGAAATATGTCAAATGTGAACAATTAACAGATCTACCAATAGCATTAATAAACGGCCACTATATGAACTCGGTCTGACCCTGATATGATTATGCTTAGTCTATTCGCCAATTATAAACGTGTACATTTTTTAATGAACAAGAGTAAGTTTCATTGACTCAATTGTTGTATGCTCTAGATATTGTTGTGTATATACCATTTTTGTCTCCACTTTTTTTTTCTGTTTCATAAGTTGTATTGATCCCTGCTTTTGTACTGTGTTAATTTTTGATTATAGAAGCAAATAAAGTTTTATAAAGGAAATAGTTTACTTTTTTTAACTTGACTCACTTTAAGACATTGTGCTCGATAGTCTAGGGAATTCATTAGAAAATTCAACTATAAAAATGATGTCTTACAGAGTTACGAACAGTGATTTATCCCTTTTTGATTAACAAATGCACTTACAATAGTTGAAATTATGAGTCAATTGAAGCTAGACCACCATGGAAAACCTGAAAGCACCGGACAGCCGTTTCGTCCTAGCATGGGACTCCTCAGCAATGCACACCCACGATTCCACCTTGCAAGATTCGAACCCAGGACCTACCAGTCTCAGGTGCCAGCGCTTAACCATTAGACCACTAAGCCGGCATCCAACGATGTTAATGTCTAACTTCAACCAATCCACGAAATTGCGCCACCGTCACCATTGTCTTCAGTGAGCTGATACCTCACAACAGACCTGGTCGAACTTTACTGGTCACGGCTTCTCACTAGAACTCCAGGAGTGTTTCTTGAAGTCAGTCACTAATGAGTAGATGATTATTATCAGAAGGGGTTTTGTAGAGAATTACTAAAATCTCCACAAAACCCCTTCTGAAAATATACTTACAGTTGAAATGGTTTCTAAGATGTACTATAACGTTGACAAAACTGCAGAATTGTCACTTTATCGTTCAAAAAATCATAACAAAGACCAGCTTGGCAAAAAACGGAATGATAATCAATTTCCTGAAACAGTTAAAGTTGGCTAAATCTTATGTAATACAAATAAAAGAATTGAACTACACAAATCACGTCATCAGTAAAACTAGAAAAATTTGATCAGCTAGGGTGTAACGAAGAGAACACTGTATCTAAAAACATGTGTTTACCAAGAAGAAATTTTAAGGTTATGTGGTACATCCATAAATTAATGGAATTCAATAAAAGATTTCGGAGAGTGTATCAATGGACAGAATATTGAATTTAGAGCAGAGCTGAATTGCTTAATCGAATATTGCGATGGAGAATCTAAAGCTTCTATTCTGTATTGTTTTTTATTAGAACGGGAAATAAGTTACCGTCAAGCATTGGAGCTTTTGGAGTAGACTTTTGGACAAAAAGAAACTGTTGCACTCACGTTCATTGATGACTCATTAAATTTTTTTCGATATAGGAAGAAATCGTCCCAACTGTTTGAGAAATTTATCATGAGAAATGTAAATATTTGGACTGATTTTTGGACATATGAGTTACTCTACTGATTTGAACTTATCCAGGACTATAGAAACCATGATTTTTAACAATATATTTTCAGAAAAGAATGAACAAAGTTAGTTTACAATTAAAGGAGGTCGAAAGCCTTGGTTGACCGACCATTTTGAGTTCGTAAAGCAACAAAATGAAACAGCTAAGACAAGCTATGGCCTACTTACCAAAGGAGGTATCAATTACAAAAGGAAACTAGGCGTCTTATAAGAGGTGTCTAGAGATGGTTATAATACAACAAAGGTGTTTTATACAATCCTAAAAGCTGAATATGAGATGACTAGGAAAATGCAATTAACATGAAGAGAAGGTCAACAATGGAGAAGACTGGAAGAATTGATTGAATTCAGTTTGATCGAATGGCATGGCTCAACCCCGCAGACGTGGTCATTCTGTATAACCTGTCTTTATTCACTTTAAATATATTATTCTATATTTCGTCTAAATGTGTTCTTCAGAAGTACTAAATATCATATTGCTCATTTTCACGATACAATTAGTCAGTGTAAAAAATTATGTGAATTACACGTAAGATCTTATAGATTAGGTAGTCATATCGTGACAAATCTATAATTTTAGGATCAGGACTATTATTAGAGCAGTACCAATAACGAACCTAGACCGTAATTCTACAATATATTTCAACCTTAACCTTCTAGGAAACTTTAAATACAACGACTTTCCATACAAAAACTAGATCCCACTGTGGTGTTTGAATGAAATAATGATACCTTTGTACTTGTCGAATGCTTGATTTTGAATTCTTAACACAATACATTTGTTTGTCCTGATCTAGTACTTCTTGATTCAATTGCGTTATTTCGGGGATTCTCAGTTCATACTAAAATTCAAATAATTCGAAATGCCAAACCCACATTTTATTTAACCAGAAATCATCTCTCTGACAATATTACCATTCCACCATGATGTTCACTAATTTGTCATACAAATGGTTCTAACAAGCGTTTTGACTGTAAAAGCAAACGAACTAAATGGGAGAGTTGATGCTATTGTAGCGTGGTGTCGAGTCGAGATTGACTATGTACACCGCTACCAAAATACACGTGCCAAGAATATCAGAAGGCGTAGGTTGAGCGTAACCAGATTTATTCGTTTGGCGATCTCGTGGTATCGAATGAATACCGAGATCGTGCCAAGAACGGTACAAGCGGAAGCAGGAGTACAGAATACGTGCGAACAGCAGCAAAAACCGCGGAACAATAATGGAAGGTAATGGAAGCACAAAATGGCTATAATTAGCACAGTTAAAGAAAAACACATTAAAACAAACACTGGTACAACTGTTTATAATAATAATTGTTTTTATTGAACCAGTCGTGTTCTCGTAATAAACGTGAGTCACTACACTATCACTTATTTTCAACGATTTCAACAAAGGTTACAACATATAGCGTATGTTTCAGAAAGAGAAGTGATTTCACATTTACTGTGAATTAGCCTTGTTTTTGTGTATTTACTTACTTACGCCTGTTACTCCCAATAAAACATAGGTCATCGAACAGTATTCCCCAACCCACTCTGTCCTTCACCTTCCTTTTCAGTTCTATACAATTCTTGTTCATTCTCCTAATGTCTGTATCCATTTCTCGACGTAATGAGTTCTTCAGTCTTCCTCTTCTCCTTTCGCATTCAAGATTCTATGTGAGGCCTTATCTTGTGACACAATAGTATGATTTCCTCTATGTGTGTCCTATCAACGTCAACCGTTTCTTCTTCTTGATTTCTTCCTCCGCTGGAATCTGGTTTGTTCTCTCCCAAAGTAGGTTGTTGCTGATAGTTTCTGGCAAACGGATCCGCGTTATT